AAAATTCCCCCCAAAATTTCCCAAAATATTTTTATTTTTCCCCCAAAATTTCCCCTTCCTCCCCAAAACGCTGCCTGGCTTCGCTATAAAAACCCTTTGTGAGCCAAAAATCGGCTTTTTCCCTCCCCAAACCGCGGGTTTTGCCCCAAAATCCACATTTTTCCCTCCAAATCTGATTTTTTTTGCTCCAAAATTCACATTTTTCCCTCAAAATCTGATTTTTTTTTTGCCTCAAAATCCACATTTTCGCTCAAAATCTGATGACTTTTACCACAAAATTATCTTTTTTTCCCCCCAAAATCCACATTCCCCCCCTCAAAAATCTGATTATTTTTGCCCCAAAATTCTGATTTTTTTTTCCCCCCGAAATCCACCTTGCTTCCCCCAAAATCCGCTTTCAAAAATCCAAATTTTTTTCCCCAAATTCCATTTTTTATTCCCCCAAATCCTCTTTTTTCCCCCAAAATTTCACATTTTATTCCCCTTTTTTTTCCAAAATTTTCCCTTTTCCCCCAAATTCCTCAGATTTCCACCCAAATGCTCAAAAAAAATTCCAATTTTTCCCCCTAAAAATCTGAATTTTCCACCAAAATTCCACTTTTTTTTCCCCTCTAAAAAAAAAATACAAAATTTCCATCCAAAATTCCACATTTTTCCCCTTTTTTAATAATAATAATAATAAAAATATTTATTTTTCTTCCCAAAATTTCCCAATTTATTGGGGGGAATTTTGGGAGGGTTTTAATAAGTTTTAAATGGGATTTTTTGAGTTTTTTTAGTAAAAATTTCGGGATTTTTTTCAAGATTTTGGGGAATTTTTTGAATTTTAGAATTTTGGGAATTTGGGGGAATTTTTTGGGAATTTTGGCCTCCATCAAAGCCCCTCCCCATCCCAAATTTGGGTCAATTTGGGCTCTTTTTTATTGCGATTTTTTCTGGATTTTTCATATTTTTGATTAAAAACTCGGGGATTTTTTGGGGAATTTCAGGAATTTGGAAATTTGGGAATTTTGTGGGATTTTTAGTGAATTTTTTGGGAATTTCAGTCCCACCCACAGCCCCTCGCAATCCCAAATTTTCCTGAATTTAGGCTCATTTTTATTGCGATTTTTCCTGGATTTTTCATATTTTTGTTTAAAAACTCGGGGATTTTTGGGGAATTTCAGGAATTTGGGAATTTTGTGAATTTTTTGGAATTTTTTTGGAATTTTTGGGAATTTCAGTCCCACCCACAGCCCCTCCCCATCCCAAATTTGCCTGAATTTCGCCTCATTTTTATTGCGATTTTTTCTGAAATTTTCATTTTTTCGAGTACAAACTCGGGGGGTTTTTTGGGAATCTCGGGATTTTTTTGGGAATTTCAGGAATTTGGGAATTTCGTGAATTTTTGGGAATTTCAGTCCCACCCACAGCCCCTCCCCATCCCAAATTTTCCTCAATTTCGCCTCATTTTTATTGCGATTTTTTCTGAAATTTTCATTTTTTCGAGTACAAACTC